GGGCCCACCGGGCAGTGCCCCACCTGCTCTACCACAGGCCCAGGGCTTTGCTCCACGTCTCCCTGGTCTGCTGGGGGAAGGGGAGGGCCACTAGCTGTGCCCCCCCCAGCAGACCAGGGACACGGGGAGCAAAGCCTCAGAGGCGCGGGACCCCGCCGCCGCTGCAGCTTTGCTCCCAGTGTCCCTGGTCTGCTGGAGACGGTCCCCAGCAGACCAGAGGCACCCGGAGCAGCTTTTCTCGCCCCGGAGGTCGAGGTGGCAGGACCGCTGCGCTCTGGGCGGTCCCGCTGCCTGCGAGCTCCGGGGCGAGAAAGCCCCGTTCGTAAGTGCAGATCCGACATAAGTCAGATCCGCGTAACTCGGGGACTACCTGTACTACTTTTCATCATTTTCAGTAAACAGACAGTCACATGCAGCCACATTCACTAGGGGAATAAAAGATGCATGTATTAAATTGCCCTTTCTAGCTGTCACTGAGGCTATTTTCCTCATGTGTTTTCTTTCACAGATCATTTAAACACAAAAACAAGAAAAACTAACCTGTTGTTCCTTGTAGAGGGTCCTGATTGTAACAAGCAGTGACCTGCAGGCAGCCTTGGCCCTGGTTAAAACCAAGCCACCCCCAGCCAGAGCCTTGAACACCAACTGATACTGCTGTCAGCTTCTCCTTGAAGTTTCCGAAGGAGCCGAAGTCACGCTTGATGGCTTCCATCAATTCCCCTTAAATTTATAATAAAACACACACACACTTTACACTATTTTCCAGCTCACATGAAGATTTATTTTTGAAGTCAGAGAGAGGCAGAGGCAGTTGGCTGCCCCTTCCTCATTTTCTGGGAAAGAAAAGAATGTTAAAAAAAAAAAAAAAAAATCAAATGTTATACATTAGTAGTTTATATAGATACTGCCGTTTAAAAAGAAAAAAAAATCTCAGCAAAGTGCAATAATCAAGGTAAAGGTACTATCATGTTCTTACCCAGTACTTATGGCCTTGTGTGTTTTGTCAGAAAGACAGATAATCCCCAGAAGGATGAACATGTGTGGTGAAGGAGTATTTTTGAAGAGTACTAGTATGCAAGACAAGTATCTTTGTAAACCTTCCCACAGATTGCACCTCTGATATTCACTGAGCAGGTGCCAGCTCATGCCAAAGCCCCCCAAGGCCTCAATACATAGCTGGAATCAGTCTGGCTCACCCGTGGTATTGTTAAAATAAGGATTAGAATTATAAGAACATGTTTAGACTCTGCATCCCATATTGTAAGGCAATATTTGAGCAGTTATATTGCAACCCTCTGTGACTAATATAAGAATAGCTATAGTGGGTCAGACCAATGGGCCAACTAACCCAGTACTCTCTTTTCCAAACACCGGCCAATGCCAGGTGCTTCAAAGGGAATCAGCAGGACAGGGCAATTTATTGAAAGATGAATCCTCTGTCATTCAGTCCCAGTTTCCATCTGGTAAGAGGCTTCGTGACACCAAGAACATAGAATTGTACCCCTGATCATCATGAACTAATTCTTTTTTTAACCCAGTTATAGTTCTGTACTGACTAGGGCTCTATAATGCATCATGGAACATGAAATCTAGTCTCCCATTGTGAAATTTGGTCTTGCGTGCGCTTTCACCCTATTCTAGAGATTTCACAGGGCAGACCAGTGTTTCTCAAATTGGGGGTTCTGATCCTAAAGGGAGCGGCAGGAAAAGGGTCACAAGGTTATTTTAGGAGGAGCAGTATTACTGCCTTACTTCTGTGCTTCATCACAGCTGGGTGGCTACTTTAGTAAAAGTTCCTAACTTAATAAAAATATACCCATGACAGAATCTTAACCTTAACATGCTTTGAGGAGTCATTGTTAACTACTTCACAGCAACAAAGGCCTAGTTTCTACCAGAGCAGAATTGACTATCTTTATTATGTACTATCATGAATCCCAGACACTGAGAACTGACACCTCTACTCACAACACTTTCTGATTTTACATAGTAACAGAACAAAATTTTTAATTTTTGGTGGAGGGCTAAGGATCAGAATCGTATCAGGATCAGGGGCTCAATGTTAGGTGCTAGCAAACATATTAGAAGACTGCCAATTTTGAAGCATCTTAATTTTTCAAGATCTTTTAGCTTAAGTGAGACACGGCACACAAGACATTTCCTTACAGGCCTCATTTTGTCATAATTAATTGCGTGTGTTAATGCTGACATATTGGTAAGCAATCAAAAAGGAATACTAACCTTGAGGCTCACCTCCCCCGTTAGGAGAAAGGTTTGTCCAAAAGATGGTGTGGTTGATATGACCCCCACCATTGAACTTTAGGGCAGGCTGAAGAGACACCTGAGCTGTAACATCACCTGAAGATCAACAGAATTAAATGGAAGAAAGTGTTGCCACAGTAATGAATGAAGTAAGCACTGATCATACCAAGAAAAATACTTCACTATACTATAGTGCTGTAATAGATTATTAGACTGTGAAAAGCTAAGTTTGTGGCATTTGTGCCCATCGCTACATTCAACACAAAACGGTTTTAACATCTCAGCTTTCTGACATCTTGACACTAGAGATCTAAAACCCCGTGTAAGTGATTAGCCATAGCACAGTATTTAGCTGTATCACAGTGTTTAACAGGTTAACTGATTAAAGTCTTGGCTGGCCAGAGCACCTCTGCCTGTGGCAAGCCCCATGAGGCTGGAGCAGCCCCCTTCCCATGGCAGGCAATGAGCTATTTCAAGCCCCACTAGTTAACTGGAACCAGTAAGTCTCATTGTTAAGAGTGAGGCTTACCAGTTAATCATTCACCATTCTTCCATTTGCCAAGATAAGCAGAAGGGAGTAAAATGCAGATGCTATAGGTTGTAAAATGTACCTAACTCACAAGAGTGTTCTGAATTCATGTCCCCTGCAGATGTCTTTGCTTCCTTGCAGAAAATGACTGGGAAGCCTACAGAGCCATCACCTGCCCCTCCCCAAAAGCATGAACATATCATTTATCATGCCTGGAGCACTGAGTGAAGAGGAAAAAAAATCAGTGCATAGGGAGTCAGGATGAGGTAAAGACTGAGGGTGGAGAGGTTTGGGAACCTGGTTTATCTTAACCTACTAACCCCGGTAAAAACTACAAACAGTTTTGTCTTCACTAGGATTTTACCTCACATTAGTTAGCACATGTTAACTAAACTGGAGTAAGAACGCTGCTTTCCCGCCCCCCGTGAAGACAAGATGTGAAAAGACAGCTCAGCTTAGCTATTCAAAATCACTATTTAGAAAACTGAGGCCAAAACCCAAACAACCACTTGATAGACAAAGTTATGATGATTTTGCAACCAGCATGAGTTTCAACAGAGCTGCATGTTACTGTACAAGAAGTAAAACATGTACTTACTACAGGTTGAACCTCTCTAATCTGGCACCCTCAGGACCTGATGATCCAAAGCAAGAGACTTTGCAGAACTACAGGAGGTCAGTATGGTCTAGCAGCATTACCAATGTTTCCACTGCTTGCTGGTCTCTTAGAAGACATTTAGGAATGAACTGGAACTAAACAATGGCACAGAACACTTGAGAGCCAGGACTGGTGGCTGTAAACAAACGTTATGGGACTGTGGGAAATGTGACCACACCCAAAAGTGGACATCCGGGTAATTAAAATCATGCTGGACCACAGATGTTGCCAGACTAAAGAGGGTCAACCTCTTTTTTCACGTATCTAAAAGAGCATTACAAGGAGAGGGGACAAAATTGTTCCCCTTGGCCTCTGATGATAGAACAAGAAGCAATGGGCTTAAATTGCAGCAAGGAAGGTTTAGATTGGACATTAGGAAAAACTTCCTGTCAGGGCGGTTAAACACTGGAAGAAATGGTCTAGAGAGGTTATGGAATCTCCATCATTGGAAATATTTAAGAGCAGGTTGGATAGACATCTATCAGGGCTGATCTAGACTTGGTGCTTGGTCCTTCAGTGAGTGCAGGGGACAGCACTTAATGATCTCTCAAGCTTCCTTCCAGTTCTAGTATTCTATGATCCTGCAGAAACCGTAGGCAAACTATTAACTGCAGTTAACCATAGGCCCCCATCTGGTAGAGACTGTATAAGTGCATATGAAAACAAGGTCTACACCTTAAAGAACTAGTTATCCAAGGATCTGACCCCACAACTACTACCAAATCCCTAAAACTGTGAAGGGCCAGGTACAGAATTGGGGCCTAAACTGGGGGGGAAGGGGAGGAGGACACGCCACGCCACACATTTAACCACTTTCCTAAACTGGACATAAATTTCTTCAGGTATCTTGTTAATTTGGTATTTTTCAAGTGCATACACAACTCTGGAAAGCAATGTCTCTAAATACACTAACATTTAGATCAGCTATGCTATACTAATTAACAGAGTACAAAATAGCATACACCTACAGGTTAACACGGCTTTAAATATAATATGTGGTCAAACAAAAACATTTCTTAGTAAATTTCATTCTAGTTTAAGTTTTAATTCTAAGAAAGCACGCTTTTTGCATGTGGCTTATGTGTTGGGGGTTATTTTTAAACTAGATGACAAAACAGACTTTGCTCTTTCCTAGCTAGGTTTAGGAAACCGAATTCTGAAGACAAAAATTCACGCTGCTGGGAGTGTTGATTCTATTTAAAAAACATGCAGACAACTATTTACTAACACTGCCGTACATTAACAAAAATACTACACAGCAGAACATTAAGGATATACAGAATACATCTGAAAGCTTTTTTATTTTTAGGGATAAACAGTTTTCTGATACACACATGCAACTCAAAGTGAAGTCAGTGGAAGCTGTGTGTACACATCTAAGAAATATTTGGTATGTACCATTAATACATCATGTGAGGGACAGTTTACAATGCTGCAGATATCTGCTTATCCAGGAGCAACCAATGGAGGCAACAATCCTTTATATTTATAATTACTATACACTTGTGCAATATAAATAATATGTCTGATTCTTTTCCTATTTACACTTTTCCTTCCTTAATCCTATTTTCTCTCATTCTTCTCTGCAACAAAGCTCTCTTCTAACCACTACTAAAGGGAAAATGCTTTCTTTAATCCAGACAAAAGAGGGAACAAAATTTATGCTTCTCCTAGACAAAACTTTGGGGGAAAAAAAAGGGGGATTCTAAATGAATGACCTAGTTAAATACCAAGAAATTTTTAGAAATACCCTGATTTATGTGCATAAATCCCACTGACCTTCAAAGAGCATATAAAATCATCTAGTTTTGGAAATGAATTGCACATGCTGATAAATAACCATCACATGACACTGTACAGTAGTGCGTAAGTCATCTTCTTGCATATGGCTTGGGTAGGCAGCACCAATCATCCCAGTTTGACAGCCAGCAAAAAAAAAAAAAAAAAGGGAAGGGAATGCTCAGATAGGATGTGCTTCATTTGTGCCATTAAGTCGCATACAGATGTTTGTTTCATTTTCCACTGAAACGTTTGTCTACATTTCTCATGAGATGTCCGGATTTGATTCAATCTGCACCAGTCTCTCCAACATAAATCAAAATACAGTGGTTTCTCAACAGCCAACATGCTAGTCGCTAGCTACATGTGGCTATTTGGCCAATTGAGTGTGGCTAGTTCGCTATAGCAGTAGCACTGGTTGGACACCATGGACAAACTGTCACATTGGAATTCTGCCTCAACGTGGCCAGAAAGTGAAACTACTTGGTCACAGCAGTTCCAGTGTGGGCGAAATCCTGCCTGCTACACTGAGCGAGTATTTTCAATAATATCAAGACAGTGAAGCAGCACCAGTTTCACGAGCTTGCTGGTGGTTGAGATCAGAGATAGAGTATCTTCAATAATATCAAGACAGTGAAGAAGCACCAGTTTCATGAGCTTGCTGGTGGTTGAGATCAGAGAAAAAAAAAAAAAAAAAAGTGAAGGGAATGCTCAGATAGGATGTGCTTCATTTGTGCCATTAAGTCGCATACAGATGTTTGTTTCATTTTCCACTGAAACGTTTGTCTACATTTCTCATGAGATGTCCGGATTTGATTCAATCTGCACCAGTCTCTCCAACATAAATCAAAATACAGTGGTTTCTCAACAGCCAACATGCTAGTCGCTAGCTACATGTGGCTATTTGGCCAATTGAGTATGGCTAGTTCACTATGGGTACGTCTATTTTGGGATACCAAAGGTATACCAGAGGTATCCCAAAATAGCTACCCCGCATTTACACAAGTCACACATTTTTTTGAAATAACGGGTGTGCTATTTCAGCATCTCAGTAACTGTCCGTATTCCCGTGTAGACACTCCAAATTTCAAAATAAGCTATTTCTAAATAGATTTGAAATAAGATATGCAATTTGCATAGCGCAATGCTGTAAGACTGTGGCAAACTTGGGAATAAGACTTGTATCTCAAGACTACCAGTCTAATGAACTATAAGATTATCCTGTCTCCCTAAAAGGAGTTATAAGCTCATACATTCTCACTTTTGAAGTAAAAATATATTTTTCAAGCAAGACTGACACTTTTGCATTTCTGAACACACTGCAATTATATTATCAAAAAGTTCACATTTATATTGAAAACCAGCTCAGACATTTTAAAACTTCTACTTAAGAAATGCAGTGAAAGGGCTGCAATTTACTTAGTGGTCCAATCAACAGGATCAGGGACAAACTGTCACGTTGGAATTCTGCCTCAACGTGGCCAGAAAGTGAAACTACTTGGTCACAGCAGTTCCAGTGTGGGCGAAATCCTGCCTGCTACACTGAGAGAGTATCTTCAATAATATCAAGACAGTGAAGAAGCACCAGTTTCATGAGCTTGCTGGTGGTTGAGATCAGAGATGCAGCAGTAGCTGGCTGCATCATCTGGGGGTTCTTGGGGGTTTCAACATGGTTGCCAGCTTTTTGGCACTTCTGACTCTATGCACAGCAGCAAATAGCACCACTGGCATTATTATTAAGTAATAACCAATTATAGTAGATGTGACTTTAGACAGAACAGCTAAAATAATCAGGCATTTTGCTGCACCAACAAAATTTGATCTGCCTTGCTAAAGGAAGGTTTGCTCATTTTTACCAGCCCAGTATTCTGACAGAACAAGATTTACTTCTCAATATAGTTATACTGAAACATTTAAAAACAATGCTAACAGTATTTAAGATTATTGCTGCCAACTTTATTAATACTGTGCACGTCCAGAGAATTTTTCAGAAAAACCTCAAATCTGAGCCCACTAATAATATCACACACTTGAGAGGAAGGTGGACACTTAAGTTTATCCCATCTATAAAAGTAATCTGGTTCTCAGTTAAGTGTTTTTCCTGCAGTCACAACAGTAAGACTGTGGCAAACTTGGGAATAAGACTTGTATCTCAAGACTACCAGTCTAATGAACTATAAGATTATCCTGTCTCCCTAAAAGGAGTTATAAGCTCATACATTCTCACTTTTGAAGTAAAAATATATTTTTCAAGCAAGACTGACACTTTTGCATTTCTGAACACACTGCAATTATATTATCAAAAAGTTCACATTTATATTGAAAACCAGCTCAGACATTTTAAAACTTCTGCTTAAGAAATGCAGTGAAAGGGCTGCAATTTACTTAGTGGTCCAAATTTTAGTCTTAGTTACATGGTAAATATGGAGTAAAGTCAATTGTGTTTACTCTGTATTTAAAATACTGTAACTTCACAACTAACTTTAGCGTATCAGCAACATTCAAATTAACCATAAAATCCAGTCCCTTGCTAGTTGTACCATAGATTATGGAAGATAAAAATTAGCTTAACACAATGGACGTTAAAGGGAAAGTTTTGCATATAAGGATAGAGTACATTCCTTTTACTGAGCTGACTATTCAAATGTCTCTTCACTAGGCTTAACCCCCCCCTCCAAAAAAAGGGGCTTTCTTCCCTTTTGTTGACAGACCCAGACAAACCTTTAGCCAGTGCCTCTTTATATTTCTCCTCTGTAACATTCAGATTATTCACATAAGCCGCATGATGTTTGCTGTGGTGTAGCTGCATGATTTCTGCACTGATGTGGGGTTCCAGGGCACCATAGTCATAAGGCAAGTCAGGAAGAGAGTGTTTTTGTCTAGAGGCCAAACATCCCAAAGCTGCAATCAGCTTGGTGTTGTTCCTGAAAAATAGAAAAAAAACCCTCATTTTGTTGAGCATTCAATATTCATGATTTTTTTTAAAAAAGCAAATATGGTTATACAAATGGTCTCGGTGATTTTTAAAAAAAAGCAAATATGGTTATACAAATGGTCTCGTGCCAGATCCTGACACTATTATGCTGATTAGTCTCTTGTTGTAAGACAGTGACAATATCTTGGACAAACCATATAGAATTAAGATAAAGACCCCCCCACAAAAAGGGCTTTCTTCCCTTTTGTTGACAGACCCAGACAAACCTTTAGCCAGTGCCTCTTTATATTTCTCCTCTGTAACATTCAGATTATTCACATAAGCCGCATGATGTTTGCTGTGGTGTAGCTGCATGATTTCTGCACTGATGTGGGGTTCCAGGGCACCATAGTCATAAGGCAAGTCAGGAAGAGAGTGTTTTTGTCTAGAGGCCAAACATCCCAAAGCTGCAATCAGCTTGGTGTTGCTCCTGAAAAATAGAAAAAAAAACCCTCATTTTGTTGAGCATTCAATATTCATGATTTTTTTTAAAAAAGCAAATATGGTTATACAAATGGTCTCGTGCCAGATCCTGACACTATTATGCTGATTAGTCTCTTGTTGTAAGACAGTGACAATATCTTGGACAAACCATATAGAATTAAGATAAAGTTTAACTTCATTCAGTAAAGTTTACTGATTTAAGTTTAATACCTATGGGGTCCAGTGTATTGATTTTTTACTTATTTGTGTGACATTAAAATATTGTTTGTAACTTTTCTAAGAGACTAAGGTATATAAGTGGCGAGGAGTCCTGTGGCACCTTATAGACTAACTGAAGTGTAGGAGCATAAGATTTCGTGGGCAAAGACCCACTTCGTCAGATGCATGATATATAAGGTATATAAGGAAATGTTAGGAACTTCAAAGAACATTTGGAGACAACACATGTAAAATGGATTTCCAATGAAATACTATGGGGTAGGAATGTAAATTCCCATTTAATTAGTTAACCAGTTATACATTGTTTAATAGATTAAATGGGGCTGAGCAGGCTGGGGGACTACTCTGTTAACCAGTTACCTTCCAGTAGAAATGTGAATGGTTAAGAGGAATGCAAACGATCCACCGTAAATCCATCCTTCTGAAGCTATGCCCTAGGAAGCGAGTCCCATTGTCCACTATCTACCAGCTCTTCAAACTGCAGGGAAGATGGACTCCACTGTTCATGAGTGTGCTAGTTCAGATCTCAAATTGCTATGAACTTGTAACTACAAAAGAGACCCCTCTGGGAGACAGAAGGACTTACCTGCTAGAATCAGGTGGTGAAGCAGAGGGAATTGTTTTTGAAATTTTATTTCTGTAACACTTTTACCTCAAGAATAAAAATAGACTTGCATAGGAAGAACTGGGTGGTAACTTATGACCACAACAATTGCACTATTAAGTCTTTTAAAAGAAAGCAAGCAGGTTTGTTTAGGCAAACTGTCTGAGAGGCATAATGTAACAAAGGCAGGGAACTGCTCAGTCTGGAAATATCCCAGTCAGAAGAGAGAGTTGCAGATTCCCACCTTAGCAAGGTAATAACTAGGCAGCTGGATGACAGTGTGGGTGCCTTGCTGGCACACAGAGTGGAATACAAGTGCAGTTGCCCTGATCTATAACACTTCTCAAGTTGTCCCATTAATTTCATTGTGATTACTTGTGGGATAAGGTATGTCTCAATGTGAGCAGCATTGGTAGCATTTCTCTCTATGTAATTAAGAAATTATGAATGTATTGCCAGCCCCAGGTGATCTTTTCTCTGCAAAAAACAAATAGAAATCTCTTCTTTTTAAAACAAAAGCCAAGATTCTTATGGAATCTCTTGGTTCCAACAGCTAAGGCTTTAGGGAAAACACCATTGACAACACAAACAGTATAAAATCATGACAGTTGTCAACATCCAGCTCCTTGATTTGTAGCCGTATTGCTCTATGGACATTAGAGACTCAAGATAGGTGAGGCAATATATTTTATTGTACCAACTGTCTATGGACATAGACACTCAAGATGGGTGAGGCAATATATTTTATTGTACCAACTTCTGTTGGTGAGACACACAAGCTTTCGAGGACCTGAAGAACAGCTCTGAGTAAGATCAAAAGCTTGTTTGACCAACAGAACTTGGTTCAATAGAAGGTATTATTGAACCATCCTTGCTTCTCTGACACCACATATTTTACACAAATGAAAAAATCTAGTCATTAGGGCTTAGCAGTTTGAAGAGCTCAAGTCTCTGAACACCTTAGTATGTTTAGTTCAGGGTTGGGCAACTTTTTCCTACTGGGGACACTGACCCTCAGAAAAAAAAAATCAGTGGAGTCAACACACACCTCCACGGGGGAGAAGGAGACGACCTCAAGGCTTCCCCTAGGCTTTGGCCTGCCAACTTTTTCAACCGGACACCAATGCCAAGAATGGCAATGGCATCTGGTTCACTCACTCAGGAAAGTTGGCAATTCTATAATTGGGATGGGGCCAAAATTAAGGAGTTCAGGATGCAAGAGGGCTCCAGTCTGGAGCAGAGGGTTAGGTTGGGGGGAGGGGAAGGGGGAAGAAGGTGAGGGCTCCAACTGGGAATAAAGGCTATTGCGATGAGGGTGTTGGGATGCAGGAGGGGGCTCTGGGATGGGCCAAAGGGTTTGGATTGTAGGAGGGGGCTCCTGGCCAGAGGCTAGGTGGATGCTGGGTCTGGGTGGAAGTTAGGGTGCTGGAGTGGGTTCAAGGCAAAGTCAGAGGGTAGAGGTGCATGCTCAGAGGGAGTTAGTGGGAAATCAGGGGAGGGCTTGGGGTGCAGGAGGGTGTGCAGGGCATTTATCTTTTGCCTTTCAGAAGTGGACAGCACGGCTCTTCAGCCCCGGGGAGGGGGGGAGGGAGGGGAGAGAAAGGGTTCATACTCCACCCTTGCCTGCAGATCCCACCCCCACAGCTCTCATTGCCCATGGTTCCCAGCCAATGGGAGCTGGGAGGTTGCTGCACCTACAGCTTCATGCAGGGGTGCCAAAGCTAAGGCTTCCAGCCCGCAGCACAGAAACTTGCCAGGACATGGATGAAATTAAGCAGGGGGGGGGGGGGGGGGGGT